AATAACCACACAAACATTTAAAAATAAAAGTGTGGTCAGTGCTATGAAGGTGGCCCATAGGGAGCAATAAAAGCATCTACTCAGGGACCTAAGTTGGGGGTCAGATAAGCAACCCTGAGTAAATGGTGTTTGAGCTGAGAGCTGATGGAGGAGTAGGTGTTGAGTGGGCAAAGTCAGGAATGTGAAGAGAATCACTTTCCAGACAAGGGGGGAAAGCGTGTGCAAAGGCCCTGCGTGGGAAGGAGTTGTGTTCAGGTATCCAGAGGATCGTAAGCAGGTCTGAAGGAGTCTGTTTTTACTCACCTTTGATTCTCAGTGCCTGTTCAGCAGGCGCTCGATTTTTGTTGAATTAAGAAAGGTCTGTTGAGGAGGTGGGGCTTGGCGTGATGTGAGCCAGGCCATACAAAGCCTTGTAAGGCTGTGTCAGAAACTTTGGATTTTATTCCAAGAGCCAGGGGAAGCCACGGAAGGCTATTAAAAAGGGGGTGGGGAGGGTGACACAGCGAGACTGGTGTTTTTATTAGACCATTTAGGCTGTCTGGTAGGAAACCGGTAGGGGCTTGATTGTAGACGGGGAGACCAGTGAAGAAGTGATTGCTGCGGTCCAGCACAGAGATGATGGAGGCCTGGGCTCAGGAAATAGGAAGTGTGCAACATGCAACATGAATTCACTCACTGGTTCAAGGACTACTGAGCACTGCCACGTGGCAGGCTCGTAGCTGCTGGGGATTTCGAGGTGAGCAAAAATTGACGTGGTCCTTACCCTCATGGAGCTTACAGTCTGGTGGAAGAAACAGACACTAATTTAAAAATATTACAAATAAGTGGATAATTATAATTACAGTAGATGCCCTTATCTTCAGAAGATGCATTCCAAGACGCCAGTGGATGCCCGAAACCATGACGGTACCGAACTCTATATATGCTATGGTTTTTTCCTGTACCTATATACCTATGATGAAGTGTAAATTAGGCACGATATTAAAAGATTTTATTTATACTTTTTAGAGAGAGGGGAAGAGAGGGAAAAAGAGGGAGAGAAACATCAAAGTGCAAGAGATACATCGATTGGTTGCTTTTCACACACCCCCAACTGGGGACCTGGCCCGCAACCCAGACATGTGCCCTGACTGGTAATTGAACCGCCGACCTTTCGGTTCACAGGCTGGCACTCAATCCACTGAGCCGCACCAGCCAGGACACAAATTTCTTTTTCCTTCATAGGTTCCCAGACAGATTTGTTGTTAATGTAGACCTTAGAAACCTCAGCAACCTCAGCATGATTTTTAAAAATCTCTTTATTACGTCAAAAACCTTTTTACTTAGAGGAGGCACTTTACGGCTTCTCTTTGGTATATCCAAATTGCCAGCATCACAACTCTTGGGCTTTTGGGCCATTTAGTAAAATTAAGGTGACTTGAACACAAGCACTGAGATACTGTGACAGATCTAACCAAGACACCTACTGAGTGGCTAATGAACGAGTGGCTGTGGCTCACACAGCGCAGACGTGCTGGACAGAAAGGGAGGATTCAGACCCCAGGCGGGACAGAGCAGGACGGTGAGAGAGGACACCACGCTACTCAGAATGGCATGCATTTAAAAACTCATGAGTTGTTTATTTGTGGAATTTTCCACTTAGTATTATTGGACCATGGTTGACCACAGGTAGCTGAAACTGTGGAAAGCAAAACTAGATGATCGTGGGGGAAGGGGGCAGTAACTGCATGACAAATACAGGAAGGAGAAGTATGGGGTGCTGGGAGAGTCAACAATAAGGAGATCTAGCCTGGTCAGGGAGGACAGGGAGGGTGTTCCTGAGAAAGCAGCGCTAGAGCCGAGATCTGGGGGAGCAGGAGTTAGTTAACAAGGCAGAACAGTAAGACCATGTGCAAAGGCCCTGTGATCCACCGTTGGAACACAGAGAGTGAGAAGGATGGTGCCAGAAAGGCAGGAAGGACTGCATCATTCAGGACCCTGGGGAGCCATGCTAAGAGTTCCATCTGGAAAGTTGTTGAAAGATGTCAGCAGGTGGATAACAACTGATGATTTGAAAAGATCATCAGGGCTGCCACCTGGAGAACGGATAGGAGAAGATGGGGAGAAGTGTGGTATGAGGGAGTCCAGACAACAGCACCAATTCTGGAAAGAGATGATGGGACACTTGGTCTGGTGAGTGCTGGGTACAGACCAAGAGGTAGAAAGAGGAGGTGAAAAAATGGACTAGATGTGGGGAATGAAAAAGGAATATGTCAAGGATAATTCCCAGCTTTCAGGGTCAAATAACAATATGGATACTGAGAGAGGGAGCTCTGGAAGGCAGCCAGGTTTAGGGGGACAGTTCATGCCATTGACCTAGACATGAGTGGATACAGGCCTACTGCTCAGGGCAGGGGTCCATCCCTTAGGCTGGGAGGGAGGACCCGAAGGAATGGGTGCAGAGGAAGTTCTGGGAGGGAACAGTGTTCAGGGGCCTGGGGCCTTGGGCGCTACAGGGGTCTTCCGGGAAGTCCTGGGCAGGGCGGGCTTTGGAAGAACTGGCCCAGGCTGCAGGAGGCTGGCCTCCGGGTCTATTTCCAGGTTTTCCGCCGGAGACTTAGGAATGTCCGGTCTGTTCCTGAGCGAGACTGAGGAGAATGGAGGCGGAGGCAGAGTCAGGCAGAGCCCTGTGCTTTGGAGAGTCCTCCCTCTCTACATCTCTGCCCTTTCCCCAACTGGGCCAGACAAGGCAGGGCCAGAGGAGGCAGCAACTGCCCTTCCCTCCCAACCCCCATCCCGCCGCCAACGCTCCTCAGCTGCGGCTCTCTTACAACACTCAGCCTCCCGCCCCAGCACACACCCTTTCTTTACCAGGACACCCCAGCTCCACCAGCCGGAGCTCGTCCGGTGGGACTCGCTCAAAGGAGCAGTCACCAGTCACCAGGCACTCCACCAACCCTTAAGCCAGAGCCCCGCTTCCCCAGGAACGAGCATCTGGCGGCCCCTGGCGGTTAAGTGAGCACAGAGCACGATCGGCGACGTCGGAGTTGCTGGGTCCGGACGCTGGGCTAAGATGGGGGTCCTCGTTGAGGCAGCCACACATTGATGATTTTCTCCCTCTTTCTCCCTCCCCTCTCTCTAAAAATAAATAAATGAAACCTTTTAAAAAACAAACAAGAGCCTGTCCAGGCTTGACTCACTCTAAGGCTGTGGGCAGTTCCCCTACCTCTGTGAACTAGTGAAAATGAGAGCTAGTGATACAGGCGATCCATTTCTTAAGCTGACATAAAGAAGGAAAGAGTTTTGTTAGTTGCAAGGCCCTCTATCCACCTCAAGGGGCCTTGACTTCCTGACGCAGCTCAACTCCTGTGTACTACCAGCTCCTTCCCCAAACCATTTCACTTCCGCAAAGCCACCTTGGATATATCCTGATGAGGTCATAACAATGAGCACTAATTGATCCATCGGGCCAGGTCCTTACTTTCAGGGTGCTCAGCCTGGAAGTGAGAGGATACAATTACAATACAATGTAAGAGTTTACTGACAGAACCAGGCATAGAGAACTATGGGGGATATAAAGAAGTATTTGATCTAGATTCAAGGAGGAAGAGCACGTCAAGGGAGGCTTCCTGAAAAAGGCAACGCCTGAGAAGTTCCTTTAAATGAAAGGCTCAGAACTTGAATGACTGCAAGGGCAGCCCCTGGCACTCAGCTCTGGTCCACAGGTGGAACTGGATTCCAGTATTGTGGGGAGTGGTTTACTAAGGTCAGATGGTGGTAGGGGTCTGCCCCAGGTGTGGGGCAGCACAGGTGCGTTGTCTGTAGGGAGTTAAAGCGCCATAACAAAAATGACTAGGAACGGGCTCTTTTTATTACCACGGTCCGTTGGTTGGCACTTTTAAACAACGTCAGTCAAAAAATACTTCACCTTGAAGAACTGTTTCAGAGGTCTAAGTTATAAATTGCTGCTACAGATTCTGTTGGGTTTTAGCAATACATATGTAAGTTTCAAATTAGCACAAACTTATTACTTTTAATGAACATTGTGTCCCCCATGAAAGTTGATAAGGAGAAGTCTCACTTGGTCATCTTTTCCCATGCACAGACCCAGATGCATATATTCATTTTGAAAGGAAATTCTTCATAGTTTGGAATCGTTCCTCTTGCGTCGGGCTCAGCGGGTGTCTCCGACTCTGTGACACTGCATATCCTGAGTTTAAACAGGAGTTTCAGAATAAACAACCATGACATGAGGGCCGCAAAGGCTAAGAAGCAGAACTTGAGTTACTCTAATTCCATCATTCTGTGATCAGTTGTGCTAATTTAAAACTTACACACAGCCCTGGCTGCTGTGGCTCAGTGGACTGAGTGCCGGCCTGTGGACTAAAGGGTCGCGGGTTCAGTTCCCAGTCAGGGCACATGCCTGGGTGGCAGGCCAGGTCCCCAGTAGGGGATGAGTGAGAGGCAGCCACACATTGATGATTTTCTCCCTCTTTCTCTCTCCCCTCTCTCTAAAAATAAATAAATAAAACCTTTAAAAAAACAAACAAACAAGTTACATACATTACCCTGACTGGTGTGGCTTACCCTGACTGGTGTGGCTTAGTTGGCTACATGTCCCATAGAGCGAAAGGTCGAGTCACTGGGTTGATTCTGGGTCAGGGCCCGTGCCTAGGTTGTGGGTTCAGTCGCTGGTTGAGGTCTGTTCAAAAGGCAACTGATTAATGTTTCTGTCTCATGCTGATACTTCTCTCCCTCTCACTCTCTCCCTCCCTTCCCCTCTTGCTATATAAAATAACACAAATAAAATCTTTAGAAAAAACAAATACTATCGAAACTCAATAATCAAAATTTGTGTTTAAAATTAAAACAGTGGGAACTGTAAGGTATAATTTTTTTGTTTGGAAAGTGCAGATTTAATTTGAACATAAAATGTTTTACAAAATTTAACTATCTTGAAAAGTTAAAGTTATCCAAAAAATTAAAATCAACTTTAAAAAGTAAGAGTTATCTTTTTCATTTTTGTTCATTTTTTATTATGGTAAAATGTGCAATTACAGCCCTGGCTGGTGTGGCTCAGTGGGTTGAATGTCGGCCTGTGAACTGAAAGGTCGCCAGTTTGATTCCCAGTCGGGGCACGTGCTTGGGTCGTGGGCCAGATGCACGCCTGGGGGCGAGAAAGAGACAACCACACATTGATGTTTCTCTCTCTTTCTTTCTCTCTCCCTTCCCCTCTATCTAAAAATAAATACATTAAATCTTAAAAAATAAAAGACATATACCTAGGTTGCAGATTCGATCTGTGGCCGGGGCATGTACAACAGACAACAAATGGATGTTTCTCTCTCTGCCTTCCTCTCTCTGTAAAATCAATAAACATTCTTAATTTTTTTTAAAGCTCTGCAGCATTTTTATTATCTTTATGCTGTTAATGGCCGAATAAGACTTTCCAGTCCAGCCCTGACTCCTGTGGCTCAGTTAGTTGGGCACCGTCCCTCAAAGAGAAAGGTGGTCGATTCCTGGCCGGAACCCGTGCCTGAGTTGTGGGTTCGGTTCAGACGGGGAACATAGGAGAGGCAACGAATCAACGCTTCTCTCTCACATTGATGTTTCTCTCCCTCTTTCTCCCTCCCTTCCCCTCTCTCTAAAATTAAATAGAAAATTTTGAACATCTTTAAAAAAAAAAGAGTCTCCAGTCCAGACCTCTTTCCTGAGGTCGTTATCCTTCATATCTGTCTGTTTAACATCCTGGCCTGGACATCTTGCAAGCACCAGCAACTCATCAAGTCCAAACTCAGAAACTCCATCCCAAAGAACATCATCAGGACCCACCAGTCTCCCAAGCCAGATCGATCCCTGGGAAGTCGCTCCTCACGCTGCCTCGCCTCTGAAATATCCTTGACTCTGTCTACAGGGCCTTAGGCCAGCCCAGGCTGCTCTTGTTTCTTCTGTCCCAGGAAGAGCAGCCAGGTTCTCTCCCCCAACCTCGACTCTGCCAGGAGCCACAAATCTGCCTGCACACTCTCCTGCTAAGCCCACCCCCCCAGGCCTTCCCGTGGCCCTCAGGATGAATGCACACTCTGTAGAGTGGCTTCCTAGGGCTTCTCACATTTGTGGCTTTTCTCCAGTCTCCAGGGCTTTGCATGAACTGTTTCCTCCACCTGGACACCCTCCCCTGCCTGCCCTCATACCCAGCGCCGTGGTGGGGAGATGACTCTTCAGATCTTAAATACCACTTCTTCCCGGAGGCCTTTTTTGACCCAGAGCTCTGTGCCTACCCTATTACAACAAAGGCTTTATTGTAACCATTTGCCCATTAAATGTTCCTCTGCCGGAACCTGAGTCATGAGACCGGGAACATTTGGGTCTGTTCACTGTGTCCTTCCTAGCCCCCATTGCCTGCCACACAGCAGATGCTGTCTGTGTGCAAGAAATGTCTGACAGAGAGAAACATGTGCAAGAGCCTGGAGGCCAGAACAGGTTGGCGGGGTGAGGGCAACTGATGGGCAGGTCGTGTTTCTGTGGTGCCACGCGAGACGGGCTGGGGCATCGCCAAGGGTCCTGGAAGCTGGACAGGAATCAGGCACTGAGCGCCTGGTATCCCAGCTCGCTGGGAAGCTTGCCCTTTGTCCCAGGGCACGGAAAACCACAGAAGGGCTTTCAGTCGGGAGATAAAACAGGAGCTGGAGGCAGGTGGGCGAGATCGGAGGCAGGAAGGCGGTTATAAGGCTGTGGCAACAAAATGTCTCTAGGAGACAGAGAAGTGGGGAAGGGACCTAGGTGGCCGAGGGACAGGGGCAGGAGAGGGCTTTCATTGCATGCTCACTTATACCTATACAATTTTGAATCCTGAGTCTGGATTACTTAGTCAAAAAAATCATTTAAAAATTATTTTAAAGAGTGGACAAAGGGGATATGTTGCAATCATCTAGGCAAGACGTAGAGTCTATATTATTGGATTTTTAATGGCACACGAATGCTGACTCCTTAAGGAAAATGAGAAGATACCAAAAAAAGTGGAAACAATAGCCGTGGCTGGGTAGCTCGGTTGGTCACAGCTCTGTCCTGATACTCCAAGGTTGTGGGCTCCATCTCTGGTCAGGGCACATACAAGAATCAACCAGCGAATGCAGGGACAGGCAGGACAACAGATTGATTCCCCCCCTCTCCTTTTCTTTCTCTTTCTCTAAAATCAATAAATTGAATTTTTTAAGTAGAAATAGTGAAAAATAGAACTTCCTGAAGTTCCTTCTACCCAAAAGGGAACTGTGTTAGCAATGCCGTTTCCTCACCTGAGGCTGTTGGAAGATGACCAGGGTGAAGGCTGGCGGGAGGCTCATCTCCAGGTGGGGCTGCTAGATTTTATGCATCAAAATACAGGCCCCATGTTAAAGCAGGATTTCAGATAAACCGTGAATGATTTTTTTAGTAGATGTATGTGTGAAATATGGCATGGTATTTCAAATACCATGTTATGGTATGGTATGTTCGAAATATGGTATGTTCAAAAATACTTACATTTAAGAAATCTATAAATAAATAAACAATTTAAAAAAGAAAGATAGAGAAGTAAAGAATCTTTGTTTTTACCTGAAATTCAGATATAGGTGGGCAGCCTGTATTTCATCTGGCCACCCTATACCCCAGCCTTTCTAATCCCCCTGTGCATATTGCCGGCCCTTTCCTTTATTTTTATTTTAAATCCTCGTTTAAAGATTTTTACTTTAAAAGTTCCTCAAATTTGTTTTAAGAATCACCCACACCAGGCTTTTCTACAGGGTCCCTGACCTCACACAGGGCCCGCCGTGCTGCCAGCCTTGCCCTCAGCAGCCCGGGCCCCCTGGGGCATCTGCCAGGTGAGGTGAGTGGGCGGGGCAGAGTGGGCAGCTCTGGCCACAGGCACTGAGGGCTGGGTCCCGGGTCCTGGTGATGGGCACTGGTTTTTTGGTTTGATGCTAGGTATTGGGTTCCAAGCACAGGGGACCATGTCCTAGCTCTGAGTTCTGGGCTCTTGGTCTTGGAAATCAGGGCCAGGGCAGAGGCCACCGGTCAGTAGGCAGAGGGTTCTGAGCTCACTGGCCATCATGAGCCTGGCGTCACTCACTGTCCAATCAGGCAGGCAGGGCTGGGGATGAGGAGCTGCCCAGCCCCCAGTTGTTGTGTAACAGCTGCTGGACTAGGCTGGAGGAGGAATTTAAGGAGCTGGCGTGGGGAGGAATGTGTCCCGTGGGCAAGGCAAGGCCACTTGGACAGGCAGCCTTTGGTCCTGGGCCCTGGGGGAAGAGAAGGAGAGAGAAGGAGAGCAGGCTGGAGCTCCAGGCCTCTACAAGGCAGGCAGTAGGGCCCTAGAGTCAAGGCAGGATGGGTGGTGGGGAGAATGGGGACTTTTAGGCCATCCTGGCCTGTCTTCCAACCCTCCCCCTTCACCAACCTCCTGGCCCGGCTCCCAGACCAAGGCAGCTGGAGCGATTAGTGTGGGCAGAGGGAGGACGAATGCCAAAGGCTTGTCTCGTGTCTCAGAACACAGGGATCCAGCCAGAGTAGATGGCATGACTGAGAGTGAGGAAAAGAGACGGAGAGATAAACAGAGATAAATTCGGACACCAGAGACAGACTGGAAAGGCGGGAGGAGACCCAGAAAAAGAGACTGAATGACCCACACAGAGAAATGGGTGTCCTGGGGGAGGAGGAGATCGGTAGCTATCAGGCAAACACACCTTTTCTATAAGTTTTTCTAGACCCCAGCCTGCCTGACTTTCTCCCCACTGTGTCTCCTATCCCAAGGCTTCCCAGCCTCTGCATTACTCATGTTTTGGATGTGATAATTCTTTGATGTTGGGTGGGGGGTTGTCCCAGGCATTGATTGTAGGGTGTTTATTTAGCAGCATCCCTAGCCTCTGCCCACCACATGCCACTAGCACCTTTCCCCCAAGTTGTGACAACCGAAAATGTCCCTAGACATCGCCAAGTGTTTGCTGGGGAGGAACTACCACCCACTGCCAAACTTCCCTGCTCCCAAGGAGATCCATGAACTTGAGAAGAGGCAACTCCTGTTTCTCCCATTAGCCTTTGTGCATCCTCTTGCCCTCCAGCATGGCTCAGCTGCCCTGACTGAGAAGCCAGAGAAACTGGGAGAACCGCTGAGACTGAGAAGGGGTCCGAGGGCCGGCTGAAGCGGCGGTGAGCAAAGCCCCCGCCCTCACGCCATGTTTCTGGCCTTATTCCACCCAGAAGGCACCACGGGTGTGTTCGGGGGCATGCTAAGGGGTGCTTGGCGAGTGAGTATGCACTCTTGTCTCTCACGGAGGGGAAGAGATGAACTCTCAAGTCTTTCCAGACCAGGTATTTGTAGCAACTGCGCGTTTTCTCCACCATACCCACATGTAAGACATACACATGTATTTATTTTTCTTAGTCATATTATCTGCTCCAAACCACCCCTCACATTCAATCACAGTCATATTTTGGGAATCCTCTACCCAGTGGTGTAAATGTTTACAAACAGCTTAGGGGAGGGAGGTTGCTAGGGAGAGACTTGACCTGTAGCATTTGCCAATTTCCATGGTGTCAATGCTCCCCGTGCCAATATCAAGCCGCCCACCTGATGTCACTGATGTTGCTAGAAGTGGTGGGCAGCAGTGCACCATTATGTAGTATTTCCTCCATACAGATGTGAATAACCCTGAGAGCACAAATAATAGCAAAATATAGTAAAATAACTAGGAATGCTATTACTTCTGAATGCACTTTATTTAGTGTTAAGTTCCCTTCATTTTTCTAATGCCCCACCCCTCTGAAGCACTGTGTATGGTTCCTGAGGGTTTCTCCAGTCTATAAGATTCAGGGGAAGGATCTGATCATTAATCAACTTTGACCTTTCCTCATGGGCCTGGGTGGTTGGCTTAGCCACAGTGGTCTTTTGTGTGACTCTCAGACCACCACCCTTAGCACTCACAGAGCCACCCCCTCCCTGCAAACAGCGGCTTTGGTGCGTCCACCCGGAGCCCTGGGAGACCTGTGTGGCAGCGTGAAAAGCTGCTACTACCCAAGCAGAGACAATAGCAGCGGCAAAGATCCCCAGACCCCGTTCACTTTCTCAGGGTTGGGAAAACTGACGGGGCTGCTTCCACCCCTCCCAAGCCTGGGAGCCCTGTGCTCCGGAATAACCCAGGCTTGTTGCCTAGAGCTCAGACCTTGGTAAACAAAAGCCCTGGTGGGGGGTTGGGGAGGGTGTCTTTCGGTGCCTGGCAACCTCTGCTTTTGGCCTGGCAACTCCAAAGCCTTCAACAGCCTCAGTCCTCACCCCAGGCAAAAAGGAGGAAACATGTCCACGTCAAGGAGACCAAATTGCAAATTAAACCTCAATCTGTTTCTCTGCAGCATAGTCACACCATTGTGGTGGCAACAACCTGCTGAGGCACTGAACTAAACAAGAGCAAAAGGAGAGATTCCAGCTAGACTCCAAGATGGACTTTTGGACCTGCCTGGAGGGAATTAAACACAGACACTGAGGGTAAGCAGTCTCCCCTCCAGGCTGCCCCAGAGACCACTCAAAGCTGACACTCTTAGAGTGCTCTCTGGCGGCTCCCTAACTGCCTAAAGATAAAGTCATGTTAATAGCTGAGTGCCTGGTCCTCAAAGTAGGAGTTGCCTTCTTTCACAGATAAGAAATAGGCCCAGAAAGAGTAAGTCACTTGCCTGAAAGCGCACAGCTAACCCCTAGTCAGGGCTGAAATGTGAACTTGGATGTGATTCCAGAGCTTGTGTTCTCACTGCGTGACCTCCATCTCTCATCTCCACCTGCCCCAGTCTTACCTGCACAGCACCCATCCACCACCACCACCTGCATCTACCACCTCCCCACACAGGAGCTGGGGAAGGAGCACAGGGATGAATTTATTGATTGAATCGCAAAACGACAACCTGGTGTTTGTTACTGCTAGCCAGACATGAAGCGTACTTTAAAGCTCAGTGTTACTGAACTTTTCCTCTTTTTTTAAAATATATTTTAATGATTATGCCATTACAGTTGTTCTATTCCCCCTTCATTCCCCTCCACCCTGCACACCCCTCCCCCACCCTTCCCCCCTTCAGTTTATGACCACGTGTCTCAAGTTCTTTAGATTCTATATCTCCCCTACTATTCTTGCCCTCCCCCTATCTATTTTCTACCTACCATCTATGCTACTTATTTTCTGTACCTTCTCCCCCCTTCTCCTTCTCCCACTCCCCTGTTGCTAACCCTCCATGTGATCTTCATTTCTGTGGTTCTGCTCTTGATCTAGCTATCCTCTTAGTTTGCTTTCGTTTTAGGTGTGGTTGTTAATAACTGTGAGTTTGCTGTCTTTTCACTGTTCATCTTTTTTTATCTTCTTTTTCTTAGGTAAGTCCCTTTAACATTTCCTATAATAAGGGCTTGGTGATGATGAACTCCTTGAACTTGACCTTATCTGAGAAGCACTTTATCTGCCCTTCCATTCTAAATGAAAGCTTTGCTGGATACAGCAATCTTGGATGTAGGTCTTTGGATTTCATGACTTGGAATACTTCTTTCCAGCCCCTTCTTGCCTGTGAGATCTCTTTTGTGAAATCAGCTGACAGTCTGATGGGAACTCCTTTGTAGGTGACTGTCCCCTTATCTCTTGCTGCTTCTAGAATCCTCTTCTTTATTTTAATCTTGATGTAATGATGATGTGCCTTAGTGTGTTCCTTCTTGGGTCCACCTTCTTTGGGACTCTCTGAGCTTTCTGGATTTCCTGGAAGTCTATTTCCTTTGCCAGATTGGGGAAATTCTCCTTTATAATTTGTTCAAGTAAGTTTTCCACTCGTGGCTGTTCCTCTTCCCCTTCTGGTACCCCTATAAATTCGGATGTTAGAATGTTTAAAGATGTCCTGGAGGTTCCTAAGCCTCCAGGCTTGAATTCTTGTTTCTACATTCTTTTCTGTTTGGTCATTTTTTTCCTCTTTCTGGTCCACTCCTTTGATTTGAGTCCCAGTTTCCTTTCCATTACTATTGGTTTCCTGTGCATTTCCATTCATTTCAATTAGTTTAGCCTTCATATGTTCCTCTAATTTGTGACTAAAATCAACCAGTTCTGTGAGCATCCTGATCACCAATGTTTTGAACTGTGCATCTGAAAGTTTGGCTATTTCTTCATCGCTTAGATTTATCAGCTCTGGGGCTCTAAGTTTTTCTTGAGCCATGTTTTGATCTGTTAGTGCCTGTTAGGTATGAGGAGCGGAGCCTTAAGTGTTCACCAGGGTGGGGCCACCCAGGTCGCTGGTTTTTGACGCTGTAGGTGGGGGCGGGGTCAGAGAGGGACAATGGCGGTCCCCTCTGCTGCTTCATGCCACTGGGGCCTGCACGGTCTGTCTCACCGCTCCCTCCTTCACCAGTTTATCTGCGTGCAAATGTGTGACTGTGGTCAGCCCTCAGTGGGTCCGCCCACTTCTCCACACCTGGGATCCACCTACGGCTGCCGGCGCACCTGGGTCGTGAGCCTGGGTTTGTCCGGTGGATCTTTCCTGCCCGACCCCGCTCTGCTGCTGGCTCTGCCCCTCTTACCGGTTTGGCTGAAGGGTTCCTTGTTGTCAGACTTCTGTGAAGTTCAATTTTCTGTGGTTTTGGCTGCGTTTTTGTTGCTAAAACTTTGTTGTTTTTAAACTTGGTTGTGGGAGGAGGCACAGTGCTTCCACCTACGCTCCCATCTTGGCGGAAGTCCCTGAACTTTTTCTCTTTAAGCAAGATAAAGCGTTTCTGAACCTCAGCACTATTCCTGTTTTGGGCTACTTCCTTGCTGTGGGGGCTGTCCTGTGCATTGTGGGATGTTTGGCAGCACCCCTGGCCTCTGGCCACCAGATGTCAGTAGCAACTCCTCACCCCCCCCCACACACACACACACACTGTGACAACCAAAGGTGTCTCCTGACATTGCCCAGTGTCCTCCTTTGGGGTTTAAAATCGCGCCCGGTTGAGTTAAACCAAAGATTAAAAAAGCAGCTGTTTCAAAGAAGCAGGTTCGAGGAGTTAATACACTGTGCCAATGAGGAATAAGTCCCTTGTTCTGAAGTAGCTTGGGGGACTCAGATCAGAGAGGTCCAGGCTCCTGCTTCCGATGAGAGGAGGCCGGGGGGAGGCAGGGTCTGGGCCTGACTCCCAGCCTGGAGCCGGGCCTGTGGCGATCCTCTGAGGCTGGACTCTGAATTTCCCAGGAATAACTGGCGTTGCAGCGACCCGGCACTATCAAATCAGAGTCCAAGAGGAGTCAGCGATGTTATACTTCCTGCCACCCTAAAGGGGGACACCCCAACTGCAAGAGGAACGTGCTCAGAGCAAGGGTGGGAAAGAGCTGTGACTGGCAGTTGGTGCTTTCCCATGGGACCTTTTCCGGGGCCTCTTTTCCTTCTGCAAGGGTCTGGCATTGAGTGCTCAGTTGCAATCCATCTGCCCACAGGAGTGGATCGAAGCCACGCCCTCTGGTTTACTAAGAGACTGGAGACGTGGGGGTGTCACACAGAACAGTCCGTACAAGTGTCCTTGCGGAAGCACAGCATTCCCCTTGAAGGAACCTGCCATATCCCCCCACCTTTGCCCTTTTCCTGCCACGCCTTCCCCCTCCTTCCAGAACCAGCTCATGTGCTTCCTCTTTGGGAAGCCTTCCCTGCCTTCTGAGGCTCTTGGTCCCTGGAGCCCCCTGAGAGGTGGAGTTGGACTGCAATTCATCTGTGTATCTCGTTTCCCTTCCTATCTCATAAATGGTACAGGGATTCTATCAAACCTGAGTAATTTACATTATTTATGTTGAGAAGCTTATATTATTTATGTTGAAAACTGTGGTGGCCTCTGTGCCAGGGGAATACAAAGGACACAGGACACAATACACAGTCCAGTTCAGTGAGAAGAACCTATGAGCGGAAGTTGGTACAAAGGCTAGTGTTAGGGTTTGAGAGTGATGCCTGCATCTCACCCCTACCCCACCAGCTCCTGCCTTGGACCAACTGTTACCCTGACCAGAGTGTCTGGTTTGGTTCTCCTGCACAGCAGAGATGGAAGTAAGGCCACTTTGGGTGGTTGGAGCAATAACAAAGGTAACTGCTTCTCTTTTCCACAGGTGGCCCATCGAGTTTAGAGGGTCACATGTGGTGCTGGTGTCAATCTGTTCTCGTTCCCCTGCCCATCTTCCTTCCTACCCTGAAGGTGTCTTGTGTACAACAGATAGCTCCAATAACTTCTCTCTGCTAGTCATGACTTTAGCTTAGAAGTAACGGAAACCCAACTCAAATGAATTCATCTATTGGCTCTTGCGTGCAAAAATCCAGAGGTTCTGCTAATTTCAGGCATGGATGAATCCAAGGACTCGACAGTGTGTCTTTCTCAGTTCATGGCTCTGCTTTCTAACTGTGTTAGGCTTCATTTTGTGGAGGGCTCTCTCCGATTGTGGCAAAGACAGCCTTTAACAAATCCAGGCTGCTACTCTTCTGGTTCAGCAATCCCCCCAAAAGACAGGGTCCTTTTCTCAGTGTTTCAGCATAAGTCTAAGGCCAATGCTCATTCCCTCTTCTTGCCTGCCTTGCCCATCACTGAGGTCAAAGGAATGAAATGTGCTGATCAGCCAGAGTCACCTGTTCACCCTGGAGCCAGGAAGGGGAGGGAAGGCTTCTCAAAGGATTATCAGAGGGCTGTTACCAGAGGAGGAGGAATGGAAGGATGCTGAGTAGGCACAGCAACAGATGGCCACTCTATTTGTTCCCATGTTAGTGGAGGAATGGACATGCAGAAATCACAACAAAGGCAGAAGAGAGGTTGGGGTACTCCTCAGGGAGGGGGACCCTGAAATGATGAGATAAGCTGTTGATAGGCTGGGGGCCCCTGGGGAGGAAGGTATGTGCTGGCAGGAGGAAGCAGGAAGTCCAGAGTTTGGCCAAGAATAGCACGTGGGACTGGACCATTGTGTATGAGGGAGCTGAGGCTGATGAGGTCATGGAGGCCAGAGGGTGGAAGGCCTTGAACTTACCCTTCATCCTGATGGCAATGAGAACCTTTGAAGATGGTTCTCCCCTCATCTTTGAAGATGACAGTAGAGCTGGAAAGTTAGTCCAGCCCACCACAAAAAACTTATAGGCCACATTGGGGACTTAGGGTTTGGTCCCAAGAGCCCTGGAGTCAGGGAGCAATGTGATCAGAGATGTACTTGAATGACAGTGCTCTGTCTTTTGAAGATGGCCTGGCTGGAAAGAGCCATGAGGTGGGGAGGCTAGGGAAGAACTGTTAATCATAGGCACACTTATATACCACTAACTGTGGCTCAGGCACTGTTCTAACCACTTTCCAGCGCTAAGACATGAGAGAGCCTGAAATAGGGTGGCAGGGGATTCAACAGATGTGCTGGGGGTAGAATACATTGGACTTTGTGACCGATGCCATATGGGAAGGTAGAAAGAGGAAGCCGAGATTCCTCTGAAATCTTGAACCTGAGCAACTGGAAGGATAGAGAAGCCCCTATAGGAAAAAGAGAAAGAACTAAGAAAAGTCCATTTGCATTTATTGCTGCAAAATAAATGGGCTGTGCCCAGCCCACCACTGGGCCCCAGGAAGACAAGAACAAACTAGTTGCTACCATCTCGGACATGGCTCTCGTGGGAGACAAAGGCATATAATGGATGATTTGGGGACACTGTGATGAGCGTGGGCAGACTCGTACAAGCACAGTGCTGTAGGGAGTCACTAATAGTACTTCCATCCACATCACTGCTCAAGCCAGAAACCTGTGGCTCACCGCTCCCTGCTCTTTTCATCCAATCACCAAGTCCAGTAGATCTGATGTCCTAAAAATCTTTTGAGCATGTTTTGAATCCCCCAACTTGTCTTCATCCCCACCGAGAACACACTAGGTCAGGTCCCTGTGTCTTCTTATTTCAACTCCTGTAATATAATTTCCTAATTGGTACCCTTCTTTCATTCTGCTTTGCTCCAATCCATTCTCACACAGTGCCAGAATTATCCGTTAAAAAAGGAAATCTGGATCTCTCTTGGGCCTGTCAGTCTTCCAGTGGCTTCCCGTTGCTCTCAGAGTTAGAGCCAATATCCTCAACCTGCACTATCAGACTCAGAAGGATCTGGCTCATGTGCTTTCAGTTCCTATTATACTCTAGAGTCGATGGCAGGCCTAACAATATTTAGAGTGTGCCAGGTTCCTTCGGACCAGGGCGCTTTCCCTTGTGTTGGTCCTTCTGCCTGGAATGCTCTTCTCCAATTCTTGGCCTGAATAACTGCATCTTTATGGGTCACTTCCTCAGGGAAGCATCCTCTGACCTCTGACCTCCAGATTCTATGCCAAGAGTCAGTAAACTTATTCTGTAAAGTGCAGCTAGTAAATATTTTAGGCTTTGCAGGTCATTGAGTATAAATACTTTTATTACAGAAGCCACAGACAATGCTTAAGCAAATTTATGAAAGCTGAACTTTGAATTTTATATTACTCTTTATATGTCATGAAATATTAGTTTTCATTTGATCTGCTTTTCAGCCATTTAAGAATGTAAAAGCAATTCCTAGCATCTGGCCGTGCAAAAATAGGAGGTGGGTTGGGACTGGCTTGTAGACTGAAGTTTGCAATTCCTGTTCTTTGTTGTCATAGTATGTAAACCATATACTTTCCTGTGTTTCACCTATCACAGTGGTACTTAAGTATGCATGTGAATGACCTTTTAAAAAAGATTTTATTTAGCCCTGGCTGGTGTAGCTCAGTGGATTGAGCACGGGCCTGTGAAGCAAAGGGTCACCAGTTCGATTCCTAGTCAGGGCACATGCCTGAGTTGCAGGCCAGGTCCCCAGTCGGGGGCACATGAGAGGCAACACACATTGATGTTTCTCTCCCACTCTTTCTCCTTCCCTTCCCCTCTCTCTAAAAATAAATAAAATATAAAATATAAAGGATTTTATCTATTTTAGAGAGAGGGGAAGGCAGGGAGAAAAAGGAGAGAAATATCAATGTGTGAGAGAAACACCTTACACACATCCCCCCCCCCCACCAACCCAGAGCCTGGCCTGGAAACCAGGTGTGTGACCTGACCGGGAGTCAAACTGGTGATCTTTTGGTCCATGGGATGATGGTCAACCCATTGAGCCACAACAGTCAGATCAGAGCAATGACAGGTTTAGTTTGAGATGCCAGCAGGAAGTCAGGGTATGGTGACTTCCAAACATCTGGAACTAAGTTAATGCTAAGATGTAGACAGGAAGTAAAATGCACAGGAGAGATTTAAAAGCTACCTGAGTATGCCACATCACTCAAAGACGGGGGCCACTCAGAGAAAGGCTGAGTGAGGAGAGGGAGGAGGTGGGAACTGTGGGGTAAGTTTCTGGGGCAGAGGTGGGACAGAGGTAAGAAGAGACCAGTATAGAGTATTTTAGAAACCAAGCAAAATGACTTGCATTTTTGTAGCCATCTAGTTTACCTCTGTGTTCCTAGTTTTATATTTTGTACTGGGCATGACATATAGTACACACTCAGAAAATCTGTGAATTGAAAATTAAATCAAATCAGAATGTTTCAAGAAGCACTACACAGCATGTAGCCCACAGGACAGGCTCAAAGAAGGAAGAAAGAATAAACTGTGTGAAAGGAATATTGTTGCCCTGGCTTGTGTGGCTCAGTGGATTGAGTGCTGGCTCGCAAACCAAAAGGTCACTGGTTTGATTCCCAGTCAGGGCACATGCCTGGG